ATTATTTATCAATGACAAAAGCGAGGTGCTAACATAGAACATGCTAACCGTTTTACATGTCTACGTAAAATTCGGCTCCTTCTTCTCTAACCTCCTGAGGCTGAACTAACTACTAGTAGTTCTTTCTTCTTTTGAAACATAGTAACATAGTAGTTATTAAAGGAACACTACAGGGTCAGGAACACAAACATGTATTCCTGACCCTATAGTGTTTAACCCACCATTTAGGTGGCATGCCCTCCCTTAACCCCCTATAAAAGTTTAAAACTCACCTTATTTTCCAGCGCCACGCGGGTCCACCGGCAAGGCCTCCGCCCCCTTTGTGGCATCATCAAAACGGCTGGGGCGGGGTCAAATGCCATTTTGGCCAATCAGGACCCCCTCATAGAGATGCATTGAATCAATGCACCTCCATGAGGAAAATTCAGTGTCTCCATCTGAAGCTGTATTTGGGGGGAGTACTGAGTGTGTCTTTGTGTGCTCTTCAGTGTTGTGTATGTGGAGATTAAATTTTGTGTGGAGATGTCTGAGTGTTGTTCATGTGTAAGTTTGCAGGGAGTGGGAGTGTGTTGGGTAGGTTTTTCAATGTCCTCTCCTGCTTACTTTTTCGCAGGAGGGCTGTAGTCCTAGAGGTCCACTGAAGGGAACAATGGGAAAGTGGTTCCATGGTTGCTCACTGGGGGAACATGGTGGTCTGCACCAATATTGGGTGCAGATCACTTAATGAGTTTCCTTGCATGGAGGACCACATCACAGCCAGAGCTAAAGCTCCAGGCTCAGACGACCCTGATAACCTTGTAATGTAGGCTTGAAAAGAGTGGGACAAGGACCCAGAACACTTCATTGAGTGGAAATGGTCTGGGTCTCTTTAGTCTCCCTTTATTTTTTATATTCTCCATTATAGTTCCCTTTGGACACTGTTTATGAGGTACTTGTGTTTAGTAAATAATTCCTATAACGCCCTAGCACATGAACAGTGATTATCTGGCTATGCAGACACTGTTTAGCAGCAGATGTTACGCCTGGCACGCTTCCTTCCTCTCTCCGATGCTTGAAATCTGTTCAGCACATTTAACCGAAGATTTCTTTTGGCAAACAGTAAATTCGCAATAGTGAGTAATTAGCACCAGCTCTCCCCTTGATCAAAACATTGCTGTAGCTAAAAAGCAGGACATCCGGAATTATATGTTCTCCTGGCTTTCTGTAAAGTATGTATTTTGCTTTTCTGTTTCTACCCACAATAAACACTATGTTCAGATTGGATGTCTCATGTTCTTTTTCCATGAGTGTCTTGTTCAGAACAAGTTATGTTAACAAAAGGAAAGGGTAACTTCCCCGAGGTCTGTTTTGTTTCCTCACAAAGTTCAACCACACATTTCCAGTAGGTGAGCACTGGAAGCATTTCTTATAGTTTTACTCAATTAAAAAGTCAAAAAAAGACTTGTCAAGATACCAAATGAGGTAGCGCACACGTCGGCTAGTTCTGTCTGCAGTATAGAAATGTAAAAATCATCCAATACCCCCTATGCAACCTAAAGGTGTAACAAGATGGAGAAGGGTCATCCATACATAAATATTTTCTTGAGGTTTCCCACTTCTGGTTATAATCCCCTACCATCACATAACCTTCAGTCCTTAAGTGCAAATGTCATGAGGAAACTGGAAGCAGAGCTGTGTCGATGGAGGGCTTAATCCTACTGCCCCAACTGTTATACCACCAGAACAATGGCAGTGTTGCTGGAAAGGAAACTCTTGGCTCTTTGAATCTTGAGGCATGTTTTTGTACTGCAATCTTCACATTTACACCACTGCTCCCCCCAGCTAATTAACCCTTCATGACAAAGTGTCTAGTAAATACAGTTCTGTCAAGTCATCTGCCAATTAATGGGTTACTATTGATTTTTTTGTGCCTGATTACTGTGGCAGTAAGCTACACAAATTAATATAATTAAATTGTCGTCATGTTATTTTTTACTTAAAAATGCAAATATTATTGCAAGAAACCTACCAAAATGGATGCAAAAAAAAAAATCACACCTTGTCTCTTTCAATGTTTTCTGACATTTCAATCTTTGGAGTAAATACACCATGAGAGTATATGCTCCAGTGTATTGAATTTAAACATTAACCAAAGTGTTAGAATATACAACAGTCACTGCATACTCATGAATAAAACAGTGAAAATACTGTATAATAAGTAAGTCTATAAGTCTATTTACTTTTTTGCATGTTATGCTCTGTTTTCTTTTAAATGTATATTTATAATTTAGCAAATTACATTATAACCTAGTTCTGACAAGACAACGCCAATTTAAACATTGCAAGTGAAGAGAACAAATAAAAACACTTCTTCATTTCTCCTGTTTTATGTCTGGTTTTCTCTACGCTGACTACCAAGATCAAAGTCTAGAATTATTTAACAATTATTGAGATGGAGCTGAGATGGTGGAGTCCAGGTGATAAGTTCCAGGAGTAGGCAACCTTCGACACTCCCGATGTTGTGGACTACATTTCCAATGATGCTCCTACAGTCATAATAACGGCAAAGCATCAGGATAAATGTAGTCCACAACATTTGGAATGCCAAAGGTTGTCACTGTGCTAGACTATTAAAATGCTGGAATGTCACAGTACCCTTTTAGTTGGACTTTTCTCATTGGATTATCAATATTGTGGGTCCATGTTGAGACATAATCAATCCCTTTACATAGAAGCATATTTTCAAAGGTTGGAAAAGATCCAAGTCTATTAATAATATTGTCACGAGAACTGACTGATATTTTGCTGCATTTTATGGCTCTGTGAGCTATGAAAAGTCCCTGGCAAAATCACGTCTATACAGAGATCTCTTTGTGTCTATCTGAGCCCCAGCCTCTCTATATTTAATGTTTTTAAATACACTGAGATAGAATGGACACTAGCCATTAAATGGTTAAATCTCATCCAATTAGCTAATGCCTATAGCCCTTTATACAAGGAAGCTCAGATGAGGGAGCAGGCAAGAGGAAATTAGTGTATATCAAGAAGAATGTTGATGAGAAAGATCCCTATGTTCATTGTCTGGATGTGAACCAGGGAAAATTCGAACTCACAACCAAAATTAGCAAGACAGTCATCAAAGTTTCTGATTTATCTGCCTGGTAAAAAGCTATGTCTTGATGTGGGATCTTATGTGTCTTACTCATCAAAGACTGGACAGTACCTCACTGTCTCTACAGAATCCATGGAATAACACAGGAGGATGTATTATGTGCCTCATAAGATAAAAGGAACACTTAATGAATGAACACGTGTCCTTTACATAAGATTAACTCTAGTGATTGATATAAAAATATTAATGGCCACTTACTAAGACTTATTGTGTTATACAGACCGAGACAACTTTTAGACTCTACAGACACAGTGTATACTAATTTGCAAGCAGGGTATTGTGTCAAAGAATTTTAAAATACCAGTTAAGCACTAGATCAAGCATTATGCCAATAAAGGCTAGTAAAAACAAAAAATTAATAATAAAGTATGTATTCATTTTGTTTTCAGATTTGTCCACGGTACATCTAATTATACTGAGTAAGCATAGTGAATTTAGAGTGAAATACATGATTTGTTATATAACAAACAACCGGATATACCTAAAAACATAAAATAGAGAAAAACCTCATAGGACAATAACATAATTTACAAACCCCCAGAATTCAAGGTTACACTCACAAAGTCAAAGAAAATTCGGGCTCATCAATAGTCTGTAGGTACCATCAGATTCAATGGTATTCAGGTTCCAAAGGTTCATGTGAAAATAACTGAAAGAAACGTAGTGCAACACTGATAAAAAGTAAAAACGCTTGCTTTAATGGTTACACTTACAAAGTATAAGTAGGTTAAAAGCCCATCAGAATAATCCCGTGGTCCCCAGTCCTGGTCTTAGTAATAAAAGTGACAGGAGTCTCCTCAAGTACCAAAAGCAAAAACAGCAGCATATAAAACAATCAAATGACAATAACATATAAATAAAATAATTTAAAAAACTCACTCTACGCATTTCGTCTAATAACTGTAGACTTCATCAGGAGTATTAAAAAATGCTGTATAGTGCATAAAATAAAATAAAATGCTGTAATGTGTGGAAACCGGAATTTCTTTTTAAATGTCCCTCTTTCAGATGCCGGTTTGTTCCTAGCCAATCCCTTAGTTAGCTAACTATCTTCAATGGCCGCAATCCATATATAGAGTTCCGGTAGTAAACCCAGAACGCAAAATGCATTCCACATACCCGGAAGTGCCAATCCGCCATGAATAATGACGTTGTTGTGCCTGGAACGCAGATGCGTTCCAAATCTTCCGTCAGTCTCCACATATTTTAATATATTCACGGAGAGTCCTCAGCCATACATTTTAAAATATTCACATGAAAAACAAAAAATATGAACCAGACAGAAAGATGATCAATATTAGGATACATCACAGTGTATATCTTTACCATGATGAAAAAAGTAACATAATACATAAAAAAAGACACTCACCTGACCAAGTGTATACTCTAACTGACTAGATATACCAGGTGAACATATAGTGGATGAGACACTAGAAGGGGAGTCTGGAGACACTTAGCAAAAAAAGGGGGGAAGAAAAATATAAACATAAGTACAGACTATTGATGAGCCTAAATTTTCTGACTTTGTGAGTGTAACCTTGAATTCTGGGGTTTTTGTAAATTACGTTATTATCCTATGAGTTTTTTCTCCATTTTATGTTTTTAGGTATATCCGGTTGTTTGTTATTTGTGTTTGAGGATTGAGAGGAATCCTTCTGCTATACCTTGTATCCAAAAGGGTATTTACCTTTTTGTACTGATTGCTCACATACCGCACCTGGTTGGTCTATATATATTCTTTTGTGTTGAAATGATTTGTTATATGACTGCTAAGTTTGCTTATGAACAGAATTATTTGGTTAAGAAAGATACTTTTATGATACTTTATTCTGTATAGATGAACTATGATGATTTAGAGTAGGGGTGTCCAAAAGGTAGATCCCCGGATATTCTAGAACTATAACTCCCATGATGCTTTGCATGCCTTTAGAATGACAAAGCATCGTGCAAACTGTAGTTTTAAAACATCCAGGGATCTACATTTTGGGCACCCCTGATTTAGAGTCTGTTAATCTCAAAACAGTGAATAATTAAATATGCTTTTTGACTTTTTTTTAGGAACATTGTTACTATCAAGGTTTTGTTCTTGGAGAGATGGAGTCCAGTGTTGTTATTAGCACCTGCTTGGGAATAAAGTGAGTAGATGACGCGCTCTTGCCATATTGGAAATACCATTATTGTTCTTTAGTCTACTTCTGTTTGATACTATTAACTATCATTTTGTTTACATCCCCCAAAATATTTTAATTATCTCACAACCCAAGCAAGCTATTGTTGCAAGAGGACCTGACAACTATTATTTATCACTGCCCACAATTTCTCTAATTGTTCACTAGGCAGTCTTTTCTATAAAGTATTTACTAAAATAGAAGCAATTTATGCTTTACCTTTGTTAAAGTATACTACTAGTGATGCTGCAAACTGTGTTGTGTCTACAGGGGACTAATAACACTAAACAACAACCTAAGCTACATTGTGGAACCACTGTTAGGAGAGGGAAATAAACACATCATCTATAGAGCTGAACATTTGACTGTTGAAGAAAGAAAATGCGGATATATCAGAGAAGATAGACACTCCAATTTCACCAGCTATGATATAGTACATCGCCAGAGGGTGAGTTCAGACTGGATAATATTGTGGGTTATGTCTAAATTTGATCACATTCACAAATCACATTTGCGCCATTTTGTTTTATATAAAACTCTTACACCACCTTTATACATTTTTTTATTTTTTCGTGCTTGGTTTGTCATTTCAACAAGATCATCAATTTCACGTGGCAAAAGAACTACAAGGTTAATGGTGTTTTTCTAGTGGAACATTGTGGTTAACAGCAAAAAGAAAAACATTTACATTAGGGTATTAAACACTTTTCTTATTACTAACAGGTGAGGTAACAGACCCGGGGTAGGCATAGTATTAACAAAGTTGGAAAGAGGTGCATGCTATGCCCCTGGAATACTCCAAATGTGGGAAATTGAGTATGCTCACTGGGTTGATCCATGATGGAAGGAGAAGTATTAGAGCATAAATGTGTGCAAAAGCAAGCTAGTTCACCTGTGCAAGTTAGATGCCTGTGTTTGCTAGTCGACTGAGTGCTGTGCATAGTATGTCTGGTCAGGTTGGATTGCTATGTGTGGGCACTACTCAGAGACACAGGGAAAATAATTTGGTATCATAGCTGTTAACCCTAACCATGGGGGCTGTGGGGGAGAGCTAGTTAAGGTATACACCATCAATCTGTTGGTAGTAGAGGAAATTTTGACCTCTGTTGAAGGTAGTAAGGGCTCCGTTAAACCATGCAGGGTATCTAGTACTCTCAGTGTTGTTGAGAATAGGGTCTCAACGTAAATATTACTAAAAATGTAAGGCGAAAGCGTAAAAATAAATAAACTAAAGAAAACATAAACATAAAAACATATGAAGATCTAAATCATAAATTTGTTAGTGAAATCTAAATTGTGGGCAACATATTTGGTTGTCAGAGTCCCTAGTTGGTTTCAGGTATTTAGAGTCTGTGGGCCTCTTGTCATCAGGCCAGGAGTGGTGTTGTTATCAGGGTCCCAGTTTTCTGGTCAATTTTGCAGTCCCATTGAATTCAGATGCACCTGACATAGATGTGAGGTTGTGGGCAGTCCCGTTACGATGGATAAGTAAAGAGCCAGTGTTAACCCATCTGTATGGTATTCCAGCTTTTCTCAGAGAGGTCGTCACTGGTCCAAAAGAGTAGAGTGGCTCTGGTGAGGTCTTGAAAGAATAAAAGCTGGGAGTCTTCGAAGACCAGTGGTATTTTACCGTTCAGGGCTGACATTATCTGGATTTTGTTGTGCACCGTCACACAGCGCAGTATTACATCACGGGGTGTATTGGGTATAATACGGACTGATGAAATTACAATACAAAATAAATACAAAGTCCTGCTGTGTGATCTAAAATCCACCAACACACTCTAACACCTGTGTGTTCACCTCTCTATACATACAAAATAAAGGTTATACATACATACAAAAAAAGGTGGAGTGTAGTTGGTATTCACATATGGTATCACTGCAAAAGACAGAAAGACAAGGCCCAAGCCTAGTGCAATTCAATAAAATATAATACAGTAAGCAGATGAGTAACTCTAAAATATGGTACTCACAAATATGGAGCCTATATGCAAGGCTCACCACAGGTGCAGGTAGGGAAGTTAGAATGGACCCCACTCCCTTAATGATGCTGTAGAAGTTTTCTTCCTTACCCAATAAGTTCACTGAACGTGATTTCCAAAAAACGGAAAAAACTTTATTGGTACAAAAAATAAATTAAAAGCGAGTTAAAAAGTGGTATAATTAATAAAGTCCACATAAAATAAACTTGCAAGACATGTTTCACCTATTGAAAAGGCTTCCTCAGTTGCTTCTTGTTCTTCCCTCTTGTCCGGACGTTTATATATGCTCCTCCTCAATTACTGACTCCGATCACCTGTTTCTATCGGTTACTTCCGTCTCTTCTTAGATTTAGAACGACTTCTTAGAACAAGCACAATATTTAGAACATCAATTCATTGAAAAAGGTTATGAAAAAGAGAACCTTCTTAATAATTTGGAAAACATTACAACAACTTCTTACATACAGGCCTAAGAATAAAATACAGATAACTAACGATATACCGTTTATCTGCAATTACCACGGGAACACTAAAAGAGTACAACAATCCATACGGAAACATTGGCACATTTTAAAAGATGACCCTATATTAAATAAAATCTTACCCCCTCAACCTAAGATCATTTTTAGAGGAACAAAAAACTTAAAAAGAATGATACCATATGTGAATACCAACTACACTCCACCTTTTTTTGTATGTATGTATAATACGGACTGAGCCTGTCACTCGATAGATCCCATCCAGGATGATTCTCTTAGCAATCATCTGTGACAATATTGAGGAAAGTAGGTGTTGAATACAGTGCAGCGTTTCTTCAGTCGAGACTGTAGTGGGGACACCGCAAATTTTAATGTGTGTCCGACGTTGCTTGTCTTCGAGGGACATTATTTGGGCAGCTAACACTTGCTGCTTTGCTTGGAGTAGTTGGACTGAGTCCTTGAGGGTGTATACAGTGTTGTGGACATTAGTAATGTCTTCCTCTGTGGTTTTGACGCCGTCAGTAACATGTTTTATGTCCATTTTGACTAGTACAACATCAGCTGCTAACAACTTTTGTATATTGACCAGGAGTGCTTTTAGGTCCCCTTTAGTGGTGGGAGCGGAGTCTTCTGGGGATTCAGGAGGTGAGGTATATTCGGCCTGAGGGGCCTTTGTGGTACATGCTTCCCACCTTCTGGTTCTGAGGCTGGAGCAGCATTGGGCTGGTGTTCCACATGTGCTCTGGTTGTGCGCGCCTCAGCAACATCTCTCCCAAGTCCCTACCTTGTGTGCTGGAGCAGGCAGTGAGTTTTAGGTGTGCAAGTGGCTGTGTTAGGTGGGGAGTGCTCTGGATAACTGCGTCCCTCTCCCAACCCACCAAGGAATGCCTCGAGGCCTAGAAGTGGCAGTGCGCGGTAGGCCATGGATTTGTGTCTCTGCCTGGGCTGCTTGGGTGCCTGAAAGAAAGGCATCAATCAATGCACTGCACCTTCTTGGTGCACTGTGAGTGCTTTGTGGGGTAGGATGGGATCTGGTGAGGGAGATAATCTGCAGAATTTTTCTGGTTTTCAGGAGAGCAAGCTGAGATGACGTCTGATCAGGATGGCTGCCAGGCTCCGCCCCCCACCGTTATACATTTTAAACTTTTTTTCTCATCTTTTCTGTATTGTGCCATAATAATCTTTTTCCATCAATTTTTATTCTTGTTTTTAGATTTTTCTGCTCCTTTGTTTACACATGATTTTACCACTGATAACATTCACAAAACAGGACAAATTACTAATATTACCAGGGGGAAAAAGCATATTCCCAGAAGGGAAGCTCATGAAAGCATCTAACCTGTTTCAAATATTCAGCCACTCTTACAGTTACAGAAAACATTTTGGAAGAAAAAAGATACACTTTTGCCCTTATTTTTACATGAGTGACACAGTTGTGAACCACATAGAACTGGAAAATAAAGTAATGAAAGGCACGTTAAATAATACTTTAGTGCAAATAAGGGAATAAATAAGAGCAAAGAACATCATAAAACAGATTAATACAGATTAAGGAACAGCGGACTCGTAAAATACATTTCTAAATTCCATAAGGCTTCTCAAAATCACCTATCTCAGCAAACAAATATGGGGATTCAGTTCCACCATATGGCCATATTGTGTCAAGCCCACCACTACTTTACAGTACCCCAATATCAGTGGGTCCTACACTAATTCAAACGTGGGAGACAAATCAAATAATGCTAATTCTATAGTTCTTGGAAAAGGCAGTGTTTACAGCAAAATACCTGCAGGGACATGGTATAGAGACACCAGAACAACTACATTAAGGTGTCTATAGTGTCTCTTTAAATTGAAATACCCCATCTTTCCTCTACATAACATTTTCAGTTCTCTAAAAGTGAGGACACTACTACAAGGAAAGGAGCATGTGTAGATATGCTCTTTTGAGAAGTAATGAGACGCATACAGCTCTTTATATGTATTGCTCCTTAAAAGAACTGACCGACTAACTAAGCACCATAACCACTGCACTAACCAAGCACCATAACCATTGCAACTCAATTGTAAGTCAAACCATTTTAGAACAGTACTTTATGTCCACTGGATATTGCTCCTCACTTCCTCTACAACTCAGTGAGAGCTGGAAGCCAAGTACGATCCCTAGTACAAACTCAAACTGTTCTAAAATCGATCTACTTGCAATATATGGAGAACATTCCTGGCACGATACTAGGATTGTATCTTTATTGTTCAGCTAGCTGCTAATCAAGCCACCATTGGTTTACCTTGCCTTTTCACACATCTATTGACAGTTATTTCAGGGCTATGTCTGCCAAAAACTGCAGAGAACTCCAACCAAACCACATCCTCT